AATTACACAGATCAAAATTATCGAAAATATCGAAAACTGCTCAGTTCCTACCCTTGATATCCAAATTTCTCGTAGAATCCTACGTGTAATTTGTACTAGGAATCAATATTTGCTTGTTTTTTTTGCTTGGTGATTTGCTTGAATTCAAATACACACCCGTATGTACTGGTCAACAGCGTTGTGTTCCTTTCTCTGTTTCGCCTTCCGACACRGAAAGCATAGTTGGGAACAACTTGCGAGTGGTCTTAGCGTCATCGACAGTGCCATTACCCGGCATCACAAAATAAGATACCCTACATTGGTAAAGTCTTTCTGCCTCCTGGTGCTGCGTGTTGTTGTGGTGGTTGTTGTCGTCGTTGTCGAATGAACAAGAAGAACAATGGTGTTACGGAGGGATGTATCTTGCAGAGTTGGATGCCTTGGATCCAAGGAGTGTACTCTCGATGAAGTTTTGCGACCAGGCATCTGGGACCTTGCCAAGGAGCATGTAATAATAAATATCTTTCAATTCATTGGGAATCAAATTGTTCTTTTGTGAAACAAAGTAGCCCGCCGCCACTGCTTCGACTTCCTCCTCGTCAGCACCACCAACTGTTTCCTCGACAGGGATATCCTCTAGCAGTTTGGTTCTTGTTCCAAAAGAACTGTAACGACCTCGGGGACCCATCCGTGTTTTGTAGTCTTCCTCTTCAAAAATGCAATGAACCTCTTCAATACCTGGAATAAGACAGGATTGTTGGCGCTGTGACAGCTTTTCGCATCGAAGTTTGTCTTGTGCAATTGGTGCCATGAGCTTTTTTAATTGATTCATAACATGATGCTTGTTTTCAAAGCCTTCGGTGGAGCAACGTCCGCTCATTCCTGTCTTCTCAATGAAAGGAACCAAGGCACACAGTAGCATATGCATCTTCCAGTAGATTGGATTCTTTCTTTCGTATAATACCAGTCGATTCACCCATAGCTGCACAAAGTTAGCGACACTTTCTTTTAGTTTCAGGATATCATCGATGCCCTGCTTGTCCTGACTTTTCAAAGCACTCGAAATCTGCAAGAGAAGCTTGGCAGACGCTCRCCACCAATTCATAATCTCAAGCACAGCAGGATCATCGCATCCTTTTATTACTATGTTATAAACTTCCTCATTAWTTTCCAGTGTCTTGATTCCTCGAGCATTAGTCAACTCGTACTGGCCGTGGTTCTTATTGAAATCGCCTGCGAAGGTCTTAATAGCTTTCATGAAAAGATAAACAGTCTTTGTAAAATTCTTCTTCTTACTCCTCTCTAAATTTTGTAGCAGAGACCTCAGCTCGTCAGCTCCATTTAGTTTCCTGCAAGTTTCATGGTAACCAAGTTCTTGACCTATTTCATCTCTGTTCATTACTGCACACGTATAAGCTTCATAACATTCATCAACTGCGTCATCATCTGCTGCACGGAGTTCCTTGAATGCCGACTTCACTAAACCATCTTCCTGCTTGTATCGATTCTGTGCATGCTTGAACGCAAAGGAACTTGACCGAGATGCCATGACCTCAATGAAAGCTTTCACTTTTGTTGTTTGGTCCTTGATAAAGTSTGGTTGAGATTCCAGTCCTAACTCCGTTGCTTTCTGCAGCTGGATTGCAGTTTCTTCTGTCAAATGAGTCATTAGACCTTGTGACACATGCATTGGATCACCAGTGTGAAGATATAGAAAGTCGTCCTCAATATGCAATAATGGCTTGTAGATGACACTGAACACCTCCTTCTTCAATCTGAGTGCTGGATCGGAAGTCATCTCACCAGTACGCGCCGTAAAATGATAATAGGATTCGTTTYGGCTGTATTTTCCAGTCCTTTCCCTGTAATCTTTTGTTGGCACTGCTAATGCATCAGAGCTGCTATCTTCTGCTGTAGCATGATCTCCTACCCAAGTCGACGCAACTCCTTCGCGCAGTGGCCAATGGCACTTGGGACAGGGGAAAGATGCTCCACAAGTTGAAAGGCCATAGACTGTAGTGCACATTTTGCCATCTTCACATGGTACCCCTATTACTTGCAAGCAATCCACCATCGAATTATTTAGATCAATATCTTTTGTATTCACCCCATTGTCGAATTTGAATGAGAATATTTCTTCCATTGTTGTTGCAATCTGCACTCTACAACCAATATAATGGTCTTCTAATTCAAGCAGTTGTAGGTTTACACGCAGCTCTCTTTTGCCATTGTCTGTCAAAAAGAGTTGGTCCTCATTGATGGAGGCGTCATCGGCAACGATGCGTCCATGCGCTCTTGATTTCCATTGRGTCATTTGTGTGTGAGGTATACCGACGTACTCAATGCCACCAATAGTACACACTATCTTCATCAATGATAAGTCTTCTCTCTTTGCCCCGACAAAGCGTAGTAAGATACACTTCWCATCTTGTGGAGCCGCAGATGTATCATCCTCTGAGAAGAACTGAATTCGTATCATAAAAAGCTGTTGGTTAACAAGTTGCTCAAGGATAGCTTTTCGAGTAGAGGAATATACTGTTTTCACTAGGTTTGAATATGTTTCTGTTGCTCCCTCCACGACACCAATCGGAATAGAGAAGCGTCCATGATTCCCTTTACGACGATTTGCAAGAGCAATCATCATGATCAAGTCTCCCCCCCCACGATCAGCTCCAAAGCGAAAGATTACCTTGTTCTTGTATGTTGAGAATGCAAGTGAATCTTCCATCTCTCCCTCTATTATACAACTGGATACAAGCCTTTCAATTAGTAAAGGTACATTCTCAATGTAATAGTAAACGCATCGTTCGACATCTTCTTTTGTCACATAACACTCAACATATTCAAATTTTGAAGGTACTGCGCTAACTCGCTCAAGAAGACCAATCTTCTTCCTCAGCTGTCCCTCAAATACATTCTTATCTGATACCAACATGTTCTTCTTCTTGAGTAGGGTCAAGACGTCTTTTATAATTGAAGTTGTAACTGACGTTGATATATTCCATCMAGACCRATTTCGAACTTCAAGCACTTCCAATGATGAAATTGGCGCTTCAGGTTTCTTACACACAGTCAAATCAAAGTTTGATTCGATAGCTTTTGTAAGCACATTCTTCTGCAGTTCTTTATCACTTGCAGCACCACTTATTGTACTCCGGATAAAATCCACCGCACTCTTTGCTGCATCCCGCACATATCTTTGACGGCTCCTTCCGCTCGTAGTTGCGGCTACCGGCCGTGACGGGAGCTGATAAATCCTTTTATGTAACAAGGTGCCGCTATGATCAGCTCGCAATGAAACAAACTCAAGGGCTCTTCTTTCAATTTCTTCATCATTTTGAGAAGTGCTTATAGCATGCATGAAGTGCCTGCACTCTTGTGAGATCCCAGACGAGATGAGATTACTAGTTTGTTTGGGTGTCTTTTGACGGTTAGCAGCAGGTATAAATAGAGTTCTTCGAAGAACAGGAGATAAGACTGGAGTTGGGGCAAGACAAAMTCTCTTTTGTACTTGTGTTTGTGGAGTTTCTGGTGTTGATTGCCTTGAAGAAGGAGTCTGCTGCATCCTCAAATTTGGCGGCRATGCAGTTTCAAAACTTTCATTGGAATTTGATGGTGGTGTTGATTGTAACGTATCCATCCCCAGAACTGTATCTACTAGTTGTGTGTCAGCAGATGATGTTAACAAATCATCGACAGTCAACGGYGAAGTCCTGTTGTCCTCTTTTTGGTCTGCAAATGACACGGATACAGGTACAATACTGGGAGACCTAAGAGAGCCTTGTACAGAAGTTGATAAATCATCAGACGCTGAAGCTGTTGGAGCTGTTCCACTACTCTTTAGTCCCGGTGATTCCTTTTTACTCTCTCTTTCTGATCTCGGTGAAGGCGAAAAAACATCCCATACTAAGTCCTTTGCGATCAATCAGAGCCATTGCAAGTTATTCCTCTTCTTTGATACTTTCTTTCCAAGTGCAGTACACAATTCACCACCACCACTCCCACAGAATCCGCAAATAATAGTGTGAAGAATAACAATCAAATTGCATCGATGCCTATCTGGCTTCATGACAGATCCTTCGTGGTAATACAAAAGGATGCGCAACCATCCAGGTCCAGAAATTGAATTCTGCTCTGAAAGAAAAACCTCGAGAGGGCAGCAGACTGCATCCATTGACCAAACAAAGTAAAAACATTCTTCAASGGAAGAAAGTAGCTTGGCAACCATCTTATCTGTAATGCAAAACTTCTTGCGTTTTTCGTCATCTACAAGTCGAGTGCAAGCTGCAAAGTGCTGTTGGAATTGTTGATTCAGGAATTGAAGAAACTTAGTTTTGCAATACTCCCTTTGTCCGCTCCTTCCCACACTGCTTTCAAATACATTGTCTGTCCGGCCAATAAAGAAACAATATATTAAGCACAGTGGTGATAATAATACTGGAGCAGAATCGGTTTCCTGTAGTAGTTCACGCATCCAATTCTCCTGAAGATTCTTGTAATTATTCATCCAAATTCGAATTGGTAGTTTCGATGGAATTTTTGCCTTCGATGAGTACGTCTGCAGCAGCKCTTCACKTAWTTCCATCTTGGACGAAGGGGGAGCTATTTCRAAAACATTTCTCTTCTTCTTCTTCTTCTTATTCCTCCTCTTGAATGGAGAAAAAAACATCGCAACAGGTAGACTGGCTGATACAATTGCAGTTGTGGCCACATGATGATGTTGCTGAACCGGGGCCTTCCGCAACAGAGAAGGAYGCCTTCCGCAACAAAGCGGTGACTCCGCCTCATCCTATAGGGGTGGGATGCAACTCTGCTGTTCTATTCTACATCTTCTTCATCAAAACCTTGGGCAGTCCTTGGAAACATGTTAGGAATCTTCCACACTCCTGGTTGATGTAAACAAATCACCAAATACATAAAAATATTAAAGATGTGAACAAAATTAGCTCATTTTGTTCCTTCGGAGAGGGAAAAAGTAGTGCTAACCTAACGTACGTATATTTCTACGTAGTAGTCCCAGTTGAAATTTTTAGTCTTGATTTTTGAATCATACCATCATTATTTTTGGCGGATGCCGTCACTCACATTTGTGATCAGCGCACCTCGGAGTTGCGAGATTACCATGTGTCCAGGACTATGTCCTGCTAGCATTGATCAAAAGAATAGAGTCTTCTTGTGTAATGTAATTGAGCRACTAAATGCTACTTTAAAGAACTGTACGCTAAGTGTTCACCTCCTTTAATACTTCCAATAACAGACTTGCTGGGATAACTCGGGCTCGTACTCAATGTCATCGTCATCAGCAACAGAAACATCAAGACCCTTCTTCGGATTGGTTTGTGCCAATCCATAAACAGTATCTTCGTCGCTACCACCACTGTCTTCCAAGAGATTGACTGAACTGGTATCCTCCTGATCTGGATAGTCGATTCCCTCTTCAACTGGTGGCTGAGAGGACGCATTTCTTTCTTTATCTGCTCCTCCCACCTTGTTTTTCGGTTTATCAGAACCAGAAGGACTGCGTTTGGATTCGACGGGCTCATTGGGTTGCTTTGGAGGACTAGGAATAGGACAACCGGTGTATCTTGTCAACCCAATGATTTCTCTTGCAATCAGTTCACCACTAAAGTTGCTCAAGACAATCTTGATATTGCCATTTCCGACGTCAACAAATTTTGGGGTTGAGTTAGTATTCATACTGAGATTGACGTTTGCTCCTTGTTTCTTTTTCACGGTTCTCAAATTATGGTACTATGTCTGGAGAGCAAACATCGAATCTCAGTGAATGAGTGTCGCATTTGAACAAGTCAAATTTTTGGTGTTGGCAGTCGACGCCTGCCAGCTCTTCAAATTTTGAAGTGAATAAAAATTTTGAACTATTTGTTTCCAATCTTTCGATTGCTTYGGTTTCAACTCTTGTCTACTAGACGCCATATCATAATATTGTACACCGCCAACACCAAGCAAAGGAACCCGATCAGTATGCCGATTGCCAACATCAAGACGTTCTATTGTGCAATGTGTTTCCGAGACCTCTTAGATGGAGCAAGACCCACGCRATTTGCTGAAGAAGCTTTTCTTTGTGTTGATGACGAAAGAATCCTAAGGATCTTTGATGGCCAAGGATTGAGCTATTGGGTTTTCATTACAGATCCATTACCACAAGAACCTTTGTTTATGATTGACCTGAAAGCCACCGCATGCTCTTTTGACTTCAGGCGTGTGGCTAGTGCAAATGGAAACCATATGTTTGGAAGGATGAGGATCACTGGAGATTTTGGTTCCGGTGTAGAGAGGCTGATCTTTAAGTTTTCAGTAAATGAATACAATAAAATTGGGCCTTTGATCCGCTCCTTTGTGTCAACTGCTCATGGGGGTAGGAAGTAGGGACGTTGCATTTACTATTGAGTGTGCGACTGTGGAATGAATGACTCATGCTGACACTGCAAATGGCGTTACGGTCAGTCTTGAGCGACGAATAGTTCAACAGAGGGCGGCGCTTGCCAGCGGCACCAGCGACGACTTATACCAGTATTTTCTACTCTTGAGGACGTTTGCTGTTGTATCCAAAATAAACTAAATRTAAACTATATTACTACTACGTGTTGTATGAAYTAAGGTTTCGACTCCTTCTTCTTGTCCCTTTTACCGAACACCAGATCATGATATTCATCTGGATCCTTAGTAACGCGATACCCGTCTTGTTTGTTTTCAGTCATTCCTTTTCCAACTTTGATTAGTTGTCGACCCAATTCTTTCAATTTAAAATCTTCTGGGCAGAGGAAAATAACACAAGGCCCAGCAGGTCTTCTGATTCTACTATTTTCAGAACAGTGTGGCTGCTCCACCATCTCATCGTATGTAAACATGAAGTGCTGTGATTTGGGCTTCTCATCACGATCAATCTTCTTTGCCCATGTGCTGCAATACTGCAATTCATTCAGGTGTTTTGAAACTACATTAGCTCGAACAGTTCGATCCTTCACACAGTTCACTGAAGATGGCCTTGTATCTACTTTTCTTCTTTTGCTCTTCTTTTTGGTCGGAGTCTCTTCTGCAGGAGTCTCTTTTGCTGTTTCCTCGTCCTCCTCCTGCGCCTTTGGTTCCTCCTGCACTTTCTTTGCTTGTTCTCCACTCCTCTCCTTTCTCTTTGCGGTGCTTCTTGTGGGCAAGGAAAGCCTCCCAGTGGTCCTGTTCCGCAGYGCATAGCCACTTTGGAGACTTCCTTTTCTCTCAAGTATACGAGTGGCAAGACGTTCAAGCTTACCAAGATTTCCTTCTTTCTTTGCTGCTCTTCTTATTTCAGTTCCAAGCTTTGTTGCTTCTTTGATCATAGCTTTTTTTGTTGCGGAAGGAGCTCTTTCTCTCAACAAAGAAGCTYGCTTGCTTGCTTTTGCTGCAGCTGCTTGCCTTGCCTTGATTCGATTGGATACTCTCCTCCGCTGGCCCACGGATATCCCCTGCTCTTCCTCTTCCTCCTGCTCTTCCTCTTCCTCCTGCTCTTCCTCTTCCTCCTGCTCTTCCTGCTCTTCCTCCTGCTCACTGTCTTCGTACACTGTTTTCACCACTGGCACGAATGATGTCCCTCCTTTCTTCGTCCCATCATCGCTGGGCTCTGATTCAGTACTAGAATCATCATCGTCATCGTTGTCCTCGTCAACATCCTTGTGAAGCTCTCCTCCTTGATCTATCTCTTCTTCAGCTGCAGCTGCAGCAAAAGCAGTAGCGGCCGTGGTTCCTGGTGGTTGAGCAGCAGCAGCAGCAAAAGCAGTAGCGGCCGTGGTTCCTGGTGGTTGAGGAGGAGGAGCACCAGCAGCAGCAGCATCTTCTTGAAAGTTCTTGTTACTTCTTGTACCACCATTTTCATCATCCTTGTTGTTGACATTTGACTCTGTTGCCTTTAGACCTAGTAAGTCGATAGCAACACGTCTCTCATTGCTGTTATTGTCAACATCGTCTTGAGGAGGGGGGGGGGGCTCAGGGGGAGTCGTTCCGGCGTTTCTTTGTTCTGCAGCAGCAGCAGCAGCAGCAGAGGAAGCAGCACCAGCAGCAGCAATAGTTTCAGCAGATACTTCGTTTCCCATGGTTAGATTAATAGTACTACTAGCAAAAGGAGTTGGTAATTCATTCATTCTAGAATTGTGAGGGATTGCTAGTACAGTATCGTCCTCGCTTCACCACCATCGATACGGCGAGTGTTCCTCCTGCTGTCGCCTAGTATCGTGGAAGGATACTACTAGTACTAGTAGTGTTCCTGTCTGTTGCATCTTCCACGCTAACGACTACCATCATTCTATCGTGGACGTTCCATGAGTAACAGAGGCACTTGGTGCTATCGACAGTGACGCCAACAGACACACAAAGAGGAGGATAGCTTYGTTAATAGGAGTAGGTACTGGTGGTGGTAATTACCGTGATTGTTTAACGTGACAAGCCAGCAAAACAAGCAAAAAACCAAGCAAATATTGATTCCTAGTACAAATTCCACGTAGGATTCTACGAGAAATTTGGATATCAAGGGGAGTAGTGTACAGTTTTCGATAATTTTGATCTGTCTAATTAGCCAATCAGATTGCTTGATTCCTATTGTATCCCTAACTCTAAGAAAACGTCTAATATGAAACAAAATCCCCCTCTGAACACCTGTGGGCCGCAACCAATCTGATTTCTTCTGCTGTGGCTACGAGTACGAGTACTCGTACGCACAGCGCACAGTTTCGGAGACGACTTGGGCCATCAAAATTGTTCTCCACTACGAGTACCTGTAGAGTCTGGTACTGTTTTTCGTACTGAACGGTACCATAGCTGTAAGGGAGCATCAGTCGAAGCACTGACGTCAACTGCATCAGGGACGAGAATAACGGTATTCCAAACTTTTTACTTTTTAAAGAAAAGAATGGATTTTGATTGACTACGAGTACTCGTACGAGTGCCGGAAGAGAACGAATAGTTGACGCAAGCGCACTTCCCTACAGCTCGTCACCGAGCGACGCAAGGGAACTTCATCAAACGAGAATCACCATCAGCCGACAACGGCCATAACATTTCCAATCGCATGGTCCGAATCCGATACGGGACGAGAGACGACCGATTATGAATGATCCCGAAGCAAAGAACCACATCATAAACGACACGAATGATGTCGATATTTTACAGAGAAAAGCACATATAATGAGATCCCCTGTAACAGTTGCAGCGCCGTCGATTGCTCCCTCCACGGATGCTGACGATGAAGACAACGGGCCGACAGTTCAGAGGAAGCGACGGAGTTTAGAATGTGAAAAGCAACACCGTCGGCAGAATCGAAATCGTTGTGATGCGAACAAGCGAGCTTTATTCTTGCTCGCAACAACGGCCGCCGCTGCCGCAACGATTTGTCTTTCATCGACGTCGTCGATGAATATGATATTTGTTGAGTCTTTCTCCTTCAACCCTTTCCGTGGTGGTCTCAGGTGGCGAGGGAGAACTGGAGGTGGTCAAACTATTTCATCTGCATCTTCCTCCCCTGCGGAAGAAGAAATAGAGAAGATGAGCAAAAGCCTTCAAAATAGTATAGAGAAGAATTACAACAGCGCCAAAAGCACGAGAAACGCAACGCCCTCGCTGGTCGATTGGAAAGTGCAAAGCGATGGAAAAATTACGGGTCGGTCCATGAATCATCCTCTGGTTCCCGACGGTGAAATTATTACGACGTCGTTGGTAGATCCAAATTGTTTGGAGGGCGGTGTCAAGGCCGGTGACGTGATATCCACCGTTAGGGGTACCAAATATGAATTGCTAAAAACTCCGCCGGTGGGATCGTCCTATTTCTCTTCTGCTTCTAACAGCCAAACCTTCAGTGAAGATGTATTCTCCTACACGACTACATTGCCCTACGATCAACAGCTGGCCTTCTTGGAAGAGTTGACAGATATGATCAAAACAAAACAGGCAGCGGTGGAAGGAACATCTTCGGCAACAGTATCGCAACCGGCCTCGTCATCTATAGCTGGGTCGACTGTCGCACCTGTGGCAGCGAAAACTTTAGACGCAACCCCATCGACCGCTGCACCTGAAGTAGATACATCGACGAAAATTCAGGAGCAACCTGAACAACCGACGCAAGGCGCGATCCAACGAGGAGAAGAACCCCCTAAGCGGCCGACGTATTCAATCAGCAATATACAACAGAACCAGGAACAGAGCAAATCGAAAGATAAGTCATCATCGACTTCTAACAACAATAGCGTGCTAGGAGGCGTTGCAACCTTGGCTGCTGCTACAACAGCTGCAGCCACGGTTACCCTAGGGGGACAAGCTGGAAGTGAATTTCTGGACGGGGCTAAACGACAGGTAGAAGCACAGGTACCACCCCAAGCCAAAGAATTGATTGCTTCGGTCAATACGCAGGTACAAAAACAATCGAAAGTAGTGTTGCCCTATTTGGAAGAACAAATTAAGGCCGCCGAAGCGAAATTAGAAGAAGCACACCTGGAAGAAAAGACAAAGACCGCTTGGAATGGATTGGCTGACTATTTGAACGACCAAGAGATCGCAAAAAGAGAAACTGTATCAACCACTCCCATAACTTCATCAGAACCCGGCGAAGCTATTACCTCGGCAAGAATATCAGTTGGAGAGGCAGGGACGAGAATGGCAGCAGTCGAAGAAGGAGTCACAACAGCCGCGATTGCAACGGCTTCCATTCCTCAATCGTTGGTAGAGGAACAGACAGCGTCAAAAGTCGAAGAGGTGAAAGGCATTGACAGGACGCAAGATGAAGCACTTCGAATAGATGAGGTTCAAAAGGCTGAAGCAGAAGCTGAAGCGCTTCGAGTCCAAGAGGCCGAGAGGGCAGAAGCCGAAGCAAAAGCTGAGGCACTCCGAATTGAAGAGGCACAAAAAGCAGAAGCTGAGGCAAAAGCCGAGGCACTTCGAATAG